CGACCAGGTCGGTGAGCCGGAAGCGCATGTGCCTGAGGGTGACGGGGCCCCTGAGGGCCATGAAGTGTCCGTCGTCGGAGCCCGTCTCCACAATGGTGCCCACGCCGCTCTTCAGCGGGATCTTGGAGAGGATGTCGTCGCCCAGGTTGCCCAGTACTCTGCTGGCGTTGGCCAGCTGGGCGCAGCGCAGGTAGACCTCGTTGTGCGCCATCATCCGGACGAACTCAAGGACCTGCTGCCCGCCGGAGACGAAGCTCGGGCCCAGCATGTGGTCCACGCTGAAGGGCTTGGTGGGAGAGGCGGGCGGCGCAGCAGGGTAGTCCGCGGTGTTGGGAAATTGCTGGCGCAACTCCAGGTCGTTCAGGATGAGCCGGTTGCCGTCGTAGGCAACGCTCAGGCTGTTTGTGGTCTCGCTGTAGGTGGCGGTGGCAAAGTTGGAGCTGATCCAGGCGGCCAGCCGGGGGCCCGTGTCCGCGCCCTCGGGCAGGAGAACCCAGTTCAGCGTGCCGAGCGCGGCGTCGACCCAGTAGAGGTAGCGGCCCCGGTCCGTGGACAAGAAGCTGTCGGCCCGGCGGATTTTATAGACGGCGAGCCGGGCGTCGCTCTGCATGCGTCGCAGGGGCGGGACTATCCAGGTTCAAACCTCAAAGTCGCCTTGTCCGAGGCCCGGACACTCCTCTTGCGGTGTACACGTAGATTTCGTAGGGTCCATTTCTTTTCTTTAGGAAGCCACCCGTCCGGCGAACGACGGGCGACTGGACAGCTGCGACGGAAGTGCAGCACTGCGCGCCTGAGGCGCAGGAGATGTTCTCACACTTCGCGTTGATCAGCGTGGAGCTGGCGAACAGCTTCTGGCCCTGGCCCAGGAAGCTGAGCGCCGCTCCCATCGGCGTCTTTTTCAAGCGCGAAACGCTCTTCGAAGCGCTTGTAGAACATTTCGGTCTTCGGCTTCAGGTAGTACACGAAGAGGAAGCTGTAAGGTTCTCGGGTCGCCTGCTCATACAGCCGGTACAGCTGCTCCTTCGGCAGCAGGGCGCTCCTCCACCACGGCGTCCAGCTCGTGCTGGTTGCGCAGCCTCCAGCAGCAGAGGAATTGCATGTTCACCCGCACGGCTGCGCTGATGAGCCTCAGCTTCTGCGAGCTCACCCAGGTGCTGATTTGCATGTGCCGGCCTCTGATGAAGAGTGTATCCAGGGCGCCGCGAGGCTTGTGCAACTGCGGCGTGTCAGCAAAGTCGTCGATGACTACAAGCACCTGGTACAGTTTCTTCATTTCCAACTTCTTGGACGCCTCCGTGATCTTGCGCTGCTGCTGGATAATGCGCCGCAGCGCCGCCTCGTCCCACTCGTCCCAATAGGTCTGCTCCCGCTCCGTGTTCACCCCCAGGTCATCCTCGATGTACTTCTTGACGGGGATCCAGCCGTCGTCGATGTTAACGCTCGGGCTAAAGACGTAGATTCTCTCGAAGACGCCTCGATACTGCTCCAGAATCAGGCTGATCAGCACCACGGTCTTGCCCGATTTTGAAGGCCCGAGGAAGATGCCGGTGCACGGCACCAGTGGCACCACGGGGTCCGAGGCTTGCTTGCTGGTATACTCGGTCGTGGGGAAAAGCTTGATCTTCCCAATTCGTCCTTTTAAAATAGTTGCACAGGAATTCAGCCGCAGCTGTACTTCTGTACACCCAGCCTTTTTTTTTTCGAGGCAAGCGCAGAAGTGAGGCGGAGAGGCAAATTGCAAGCAAATCGAGGGTGCGTTACGTCGCGTCTCCCTGGCTGCAGGAGCTATTCTGGAATCGAAATTCTTCGTAGGACAAGGTCGTTTCCTGGGCTGACGAGAGCTACAGAGTCCGTAGCTGGAAGATTTTTCATTTTGATTTTCTCTGTATATAGAGAGCCCGCAAGCCAGTGAATTGCGCTCGCAGGGCGCCTTGTCGAAGCCTGCGCGCGCGGGGTCTTTGCGGAACACAATCTGGACATTGCGCGGGGCAGCCTGCCTTGAAAGACCTTCCCACGCGGTCTGGCAGTTCCCAAAGATGTGAAGCGATTGTGTCCGGTTTTTCGATAGGACAGACCTGATGTCGGGGAGGGGAGCCAGGCGAAGCGGAAGCCGGAGCGGAGCTGGAGAGCTGGAGGCGAAGCCGGAGGCGAATTTCAAGGCTTTGAAGGCTTCGAAGCCGAAGCTTGACGGCCGCCAAAGGCATTGAAAGGGCAGCTTTCAAGTCTTCTTAGAAAAAGAGCGCGCTGTAGCGGAGCCGGAGCGGAGCCGGAGCGGAGCCGGAGCGGAGCCGGAGCGGAGCCGCGAGCTCAGTCGCGGAGCGGAGGCGTGGAAAAGTGTTGGAGGTTGCGCGCGAGCCAGTGAACTCCACGTGTGCGCTACTCCTCGCCCAGTAAAGCGGAGGAAGGCTGCGGAGCTTAAAAGCACTGACAAGGCCGGAGCGAAGCCGCTCTTGCGCTTGCCTTCATGTCCACAGGCCTGCGCAGAAGCTCTGAGCGCATTGACACGCCGCAAGTTCTCACAAGCCTGCAATGTCATGGACGCGGAGCCAGTGAACTCCGTGGAGATCCGCGCCGCGCGCGGGCCCATGCGGAGACACCACGCCCCGGTTTTGGACAAGACAGGACTGATGTCGTGGACGTGCGCGCGCAGTCAGAGCGGAGCTGGAGCGGAGCTGGAGCGGAGCCGCAGGGGAGCCGGAGCGGAGTCAAAGCGGAGCCGGAGCGGAGCCGGAGCGGAGCCGGAGCGGAGCCGGAGCGGAGCCGGAGCGGAGTCGGAGCGGAGCTGTGGAGCAAGGAAGCCGCAGCCGGGGCAGGCCGAAGCGGAGCCGGAACGCTCGCTACGGTTTGTTGGGCTGGCGCGTCTCGTTTGGAAATAAAACCAGAAATGGTTCATTTTGTCGTTGGCCGCGTTTCTGTGCGCGCCTTGGCTTGTTGCAGCAGAAAAGCCACAAAGCGGAAAAAACGATTCTTGCAAACCTTTGCTGAGGGTTTAGGGTGGCGTCCGGCGCGGCTTGTTTGTTCGCTTGTTTCAGGCCGTTTTCCCGTCGAAGGTCGGTTTGGCTTTGCGCGTGTCAGCTGCCTGAATTGAAGCATGGGCGGGGTGCGGTGGCCTTAGGGCAAAAGTTTTCAGAAGGCACACCTGTCCCAATTATTGGGGAACTTCTTATTTTCGTCGATTGCGCTACGTTCCTTGGCTTGTTCCAAAAGAACAGACTTCAGGCAAGAAAAAGTGATCGACCGCGCGCTTGTGGTTACGGCCCAAGTGCAGGTTAGGCACCGCGCGCAAGACTGGTTCATTCGAAAGAACGCGCGTTTGCTTGTGGCTGGCGCGTGTCTCGTTTCGAATGAAACCAAATGGATTTGCTTCATTTTGTCGTTGGCCGCGTTTCCTGCGCGTGCCTTGGCTTGTTGCAGCAGAAAAGCCACGAAGCGGAAAAACCGATTGCTTGCAAATTTTTGCTTAGGGTTTAGGGTGCGGTTTTTTCAGCGCGCCTGCAATGCTGGCGTCCGGCGCGGGACTTGTTGCGCCGCAGAAGAAAAAGCAAAAGATTAGGCAAATTTTTCGGTCCGACCCCTTGTTTCAGGTTGTTTTCCCGTCCAAGGTCGGTTTAGCTTTGCGCGTGTCAACTGCTTGAATTGAAACACTGGCGGTGTGGCGGCCTTAGGTTGCTCGCAACAGCAAAGGTTTTTAGAACGCAATTTTTTGAAATCAGAGATGTCATGGCTTTCTATTTTTGTCGTTGCACGCGCGCCGCGTCCTTGGCGTGCAACTGGGCGAGTCAATCTGATGCAGCCACAAGTCAATCTGATCCCCCGCGAGCCAGTGAATTGCGTGGAGCTCCGCGCGCGCGCGCGCGCGCTCGCAGGGCGCCTTGTCGAAGCCTGCGCGCGCGGGGTCTTTGCGGAACACAATCTAGACATTGCGCGGGGCAGCCCTGCCTTGCAAGACCTTCCCACGCGGTCTGGTAGTTCCCAAAGATGTGAAGCGATTGTGTCCGGTTTTCGAATGTCGGGGACGTGTGCGCGCTGCAAGAGGGGAGCCAGGCGAAGCTGAAGCCGGAGCGGAGCCGGAGAGCTGGAGGCCGAAGCCGGAGGCGGATTTGAAGGCTTTGAAGGCTTTGAAGCCGAAGCTTGACGCCCGCCAAAGGCATTGAAAGGGGCCAACTTTCAAGTCTTCTTATATTAAGAGCGCGCTGAAGCGGAGCCGGAGCGGAGCCGGAGCGGAGCCGGAGCGGAGCCGGAGCGGAGCCGGAGCGGAGCCGTGAGCTCAGTCGCGGAGCGGAGGCGTGGAAAAGTGTTGGAAGTTGCGCGCAAGCCAGTGAACTCCACGTGTGCGCTACCCCTCGCCCAGTAAAGCGGAGGAAGGCTGCGGAGCTTAAAAGCACTGACAAGGCCGGAGCGAAGCCGCTCTTGCGCTTGCCTTCATGTCCACAGGCCTGCGCAGAAGCTCTGAGCGCATTGACACGCCGCAAGTTCTCACAAGCCTGCAATGTCATGGACGCGGAGCCAGTGAACTCCGTGGAGATCCGCGCCGCGCGCCCATGCGGAGACACCGCGCCCCGGTTTTGGACAAGACGGGGCTGATGTCGTGGACGTGCGCGCGCGGTCAGAGCGGAGCCGGAGCGGAGCTGGAGCGGAGCTGGAGCGGAGCCGCAGGGGAACCGGAGCGGAGTCAAAGCTGAGCCGAGCGGAGCCGGAGCGGAGCCGGAGCGGAGCCGGAGCGGAGCCGGAGCGGAGCCGGAGCGGAGCCGGAGCGGAGCCGGAGCGGAGTCGGAGCGGAGCTGTGCAGCAAGGAAGCCACAGCCGGGGCAGGCCGAAGCGGAGCCGGAGCGCTCCGCTACGGCTCAGCTTTGACTCCGCTCCGCTTCCCTTGCGGCTCCGCTCCAGCTCCGCTCCAGCTCCGCTCCGGCTCCGCTCCAGTTTGTGTGCGCGCGCCCACGACATCTGTCCCGTCTTGTCGAAAACCGGACACGATCGCTGGGCGCTGCGAGACCGCGCAGGCTTCGACGGCGCGGAGCATCCACGCAGTCTCCGGATCCATGACATTGCAGGCTTGTGAGAACTTGTGGCGTGTCAATGCGCTCAGAGCTTCTGCGCAGGCCTGTGGGCATGAAGGCGAGCGCAAGAGGGGCTTCGCTCCGCCTTATCAGTACAAGGCCCCGCAGCCTTCCTCCGCTTTACGGTCTGCTAGCACTGCGCAAAGCGCGGCCTCTGAGTGCGAGTTGCCAGCGAAGCCGGCGCAGGGTGGAACTGCGCTTAGGAGGTGTCAGAAGTGCTGGACAGCTTTTCGACAAGCCTGTGTCATGGATGCCGAGCTAGTGAATCGCATGGAGCTCCGTGCGAGCCTGCGCGCGCGGGCCCTGCGGAGCAGATCCTAGACACTGCGCGCGCCTGCCTTAAGGATCCTTTCCTCGCGGCGGCGCCGAAAAAAACAAAGCGATCGGTTCTTGCAAACTGCGTTGCTGGTGCCGCAGAGCGCGCGCAGGGCGGAAATGCGCTGCGGAGATGTTGGCAGGTCCTGGAGAGAGGTTTTAGACAAGACCGCGGCGCGCTGAGAACGAATCCTAGACACTGCGCGCGTCACCTGCTGTGAGGGCGCCGTACCCTCTCTCCCCTTCTTGAAGTGGAGCCCGAGCGTAGTTGAGAAGCCGAAGCAGAGCCGAAGGCGGAGTGAAGGTGGAGCGCGGAGCAAGGGCGGAGGCGCAGCGATGGCGGAATGGAGGCGCGGCGAAGTGGCGACAAGCCTGATGTCTTGCGCAAGCCGCTGAGCCGCTCCACGCATGTGCTTTCGCACAGCCGGGCGCCAAGAAACATGCTGAAAAGCCAGGCGATGCGTGGCGGATCCTAGACACTGCGGCTGCGGCGCAGAAGAAAAAAACAAAAGATTGGGCAATTTGTTTCGGCCCAACCCTTTGTTTCAGGCTGTTTTCCCGTCCAAGGTCGGTTTAGCTTTGCGCGTGTCAACTGCTTGAATTGAAACACTGGCGGTGCGGTGGCCTTAGGTTGCTCGCAACAGCAAAGGTTTTCTGAAATCAGAGATGTCATGGCTTTCTATTTTTGTCGTTTGCACGCGTGCCGTGGCCTTGGCGTCCAACTGGGCAAGTCAATCTGATGCGGCCACAAGTCAATCTGATCCCCCACGAGCCAGTGAACTGCGTGGAGCTCCGCGCGCGCGCTGGATCGCTGCCCAAGACGACAGGACGTTAAACTTGGGAGCCGCAAAAGAAATCTGCCACAAAAATTTTTTAGCTAACAAGCCGCCCGGGTGGCCGACAGGACGTTAAACTTGGGAGCTACGCAAGCTGACAAGGCGTCCGGGTGGCCGACAGGACGTTAAACTTGGGAGCCACAAAAAAAACCTAGCTAACAAGCCGTCCGGGTGGCCGACAGGACGTTAAACTCGGGAGCCGCAAAGGAAAAATCTTCAGCTGACTTGCTGTCCAATTGGCCGACAAAACGTTCAACTTGGGAGCCGCAAAAACATCCTAGCTGACATGCTGTCAGGACGTTAAACTTGGGAACCGCAACAAAATCTTCAGCTGACTAGCCGTCCGGGTGGCCGACAGGACGTTAAATTTGAGAGCGCGAAATAAACTTCAGCTGACTAGCCGTCCGGGTGGCCGACAGAACGTTGAACTTGGGGAACCGCACAAAAGTCTGAGCTGACAAGCCGTCCGGGTAGGAGCCGCAACCAAAAAACCTTCTGCCGTCCGGGTGGCCGACAGGACGTTAAACTTGGGAGCCACAAAAAATCTACAGCTCGCTAGCCGTCCGGGTGGCCGACAGGACGCTAAACTGGCAAGCCATCCGGGCGCTCGACAGGACGTTAAACTTGGGAGCCGCCAAAAACACATCTTCAGCCTGCGACAGCAGACTAGCCGTCCGGGTGGCCGACAGGGCGCTAAACTTGGAGCCGCAAAAAAATCTTAGCTGACAAGCCGTCCGGGTGGCCGACAGGACGTTAAGCTTGGGAGCCACAACAAAACCTTAGCTGGCAAGCCATCCGGGTGCCCGACAGGACGTTAAACTTGGGAGCCGCCAAAAACACATCCTCAGCCTGCTTCAGCAGACTAGCCGTCCGGGTAGCCGACAGGGCGCTAAACTTGGGAGCCACAAAAAAATCTTAGCTGACAAGCCGTCCGGGTGTGTACAAACATAAAAAATAATGAAATACTTCGAATATACTTACTTTTCAAAACTCATAATTATTCTTAAATAACGATTAAATATTTTTCTGAATTTAATAAAATTATTAAAAACAATAAAAATTTATATCGACTATAATTAATTTTTTTATATTTATAAATATTTCGATATAAGTATTCGAAATAAATCCAAAAATTATATATAAAATATGAATTTTGGGAAATAATTCGCAAATTCTAGAAACTTTATATTTTTATTCGAAATATTTCAAAAATATATTATTAGTATTTTTTTGATATAAGATACAAAAAACTATATACAGTTAATATTTTTTGGAAATGGCTCAAAAATTATATATATTATTTTTTGATATCAAATAGATAGAATTGTGAAAATATATTATACTAAATTCATTTTTATAATAATTAATAATTTTTCTACATTTTATAAAAATATAAAAAAACTAAAAATAAAAAAATCGAGATAATTTTTCGATATATTTCGAATATTTATATATAAAATATGAATTTTTGGAAATAATTCGATAAATTCTAAAATAATAAAATTTCGAAATAAGGAACATATTTCGAAATTAAAATACGAATTTTATATACAAATCGAAAAATTATATTTAATTCTTGAATTTTTCGAAATAATACGAAAATATATATATATATATATATATATATATATATATATTATTTTTCATGATTATTGGAAATCATAGAAAATAATAATATTATAAATTATGAGTTTTTCGAAATAATTCAAAGCCAATATATTTAATGATTTATTTGGAATAATTCGGAAATTTAATAAATATTACATTATTCGAAGAATTTTTGGAATAATTCGAAATATTATATATAATCTAAAGATTTTTTTTGGAAATTTTTTTTATTATTAACCGAAACAATTTTATATAATTTTAATGATTTTTTGGAAATATGAATAATTATATATATTTTATTATTTTTTGAAAATAAATAGAAAAATCTATATATAATATGAATTTTCGAAATAATTCAAATATTATATTCAATTAATGATTTTTTGGAAAGAATTCGACAATTTATATATAATATATATGATTTTTTTAAATAACTCGATAAAATTTATACAATTCATTTTTTTGGCAAATCGAATAATTATATATACATTATGATTTTTTAGAAATAATTCCAAAAACTTATAAATTATTGAAAATTAGAAAAATTATTTAAAAATATATATTTTTGGAAATTATTCGAATAATTATATATCCAAAAATTCATAAAATTATAATAAAATATGAATTTTTGGAAATAAATCGAAAAATTATATCTAATTTACAAATTTTATGAAAATCGAAAAAATATATATAGATTATGAATTTTTGAAAATAATTCGAATTTGTTTTATATAATTTATGAATTTCTGGAAATGCAAAAAAATATATATAAATTATGAGTTTTTGGAAATAATTCCAAAAACTTATAAATTTTTGAAAATTCGAAAACTTATATATAAAATACCTTTTTTTTTGGAAATAATTCGAGTAATTATATATCCAAAAATTCATAAAATTATAATCGAATATGAGTTTGTGGAAATAAATCGAAAAAACTATATTTAATTTAGAAATTTTTGGAAATTCGAAAAATTATATATAAATTATAAGTTTTTGGAAGTATTTTTCAAAACTATATATAATATATATATTTTTGGAAATTCGAATAATTATATATATTTTATAAATTTTTGGAAATAATTCCAAAAACTAAATATAATTTATGAATTTCTTGAAAATCGAAAAATTATATATAAATTATGAGTTTTTGGAAATAATTCCAAAAACTTATAAATATTTGAAAATTCAAAAAAATATATATAAAATATATATATTTGGAAATAATTCGAATAATTATATATTCAATAATTCATAAAAGTATAATCAAATATGAGTTTTTGGAAATTCGAATATAATTTCTGAATTTCTGGAAATTCAATAAATTAAATATAAATTATGAATTTTTGGAATTATGTTTTTTTAGAAATTTAAATATTATATATAAAATATATTTTTGCAAAAAAATCGAATTATTATATATTATATTATTTTTTGGCAAATCGAAACATTATATATAAATTATGAGTTTTTGGAAATAATTCCAAAAATTATATATTTTTTATATATTTCTGGCAAATCGAAAAATTATATATAAATTATGAATTTTTGGAAATAATTCCAAAAAATTATAAATGTTTGAAAATCGACAAATTATATATAAAATATATATTTTTGGAAATAAATCGAATAATTATATATTCAAAATTCATAAAATTATCATAAAATATAAATTTTTGGAATTCGAAATATTATATATAATTTATGAATTTCTAGAAAATCGAAAAATTATATATAAATTATGAAATTTTGGAAATAATTCCAAAATTATATATAAATATAAATTTTTGGAAATTCGAAAATTGATATATAAAATATGATTTTTTAGAAATAAATCGAAAAAACTATATATAATTATGATTTTTTAGAAATTTGAAATATTATATATAAAATATAATTTTGGAAATAAATCGAAATATTATATATTATATTAATATTTTGAAAAATCGAAAATTTTTATATAAATTATGAGTGTTTGGAAATAATTCCAAAAACTAAATATAATTTATGAATTTCTGGAAAATCGAAAAATTATATATAACTTATGAGTTTTTGGAAATAATTCCAAAAACCTATAAATATTTGAAAATTCGAAAAACAATAAAATAAAATATATATATTTGGAAATAAATCGAATACTTATACATTCAATAATTCATAAAAATATAATCAAATCTGAGTTTTTGGAAATTCGAAAAATTATATATAATTTCTGAATTTCTGGAAATTCGATAAAATATATATAAATTATGAGTTTTTGGAAATAATTCCAAAACTATATATAAATATAAATTTTTGGGAATTCGAAAATTGATATATAAAATATGATTTTTTGGAAATAAATCGAACAATTATATATAATTATGATTTTTTAGAAATTTAAAATATTGTATATAAAATGTATTTTGGAAATAAATCGAATTATTATATATTATATTATTTTTTGGCAAATCGAAACATTATATATAAATTATGAGTTTTTGGAAATAATTCCAAAAACTTATAAATTTTTGAAAAATCGAAAAATTATATATAAAATATATATTTTTGGAAATAAATCGAATA